GTATTCTCATGTCATGGTCATTTCATACCTTACTAACCCAACCAAAGCAATTTAAGAAATATAAAGCCATACCGACTTAATTTTATGGATCTGCGCGCGCATTGATTTTCGCCTGTTCTAAAAAATATCACGCTCTAGGCCTCTACTCTAGGACTCTTCTAGTCCATGGTAGTTAGTGACAATGCGGAGCCGGTTGTAACTCTGGACCGAATGTCACCGAGGCTACCGAACGACGGCAAGAACCCGTGCCGATTCATAAATTCCACAAAAAGCCAGTATGTGTCGGCTTGTCGTATGTACTGCCGCAAATTCACAATACCAGCTTTATATTCCTGTGGTTTGGTAGCATTTTTATTTTTGGCCGGAATTTTTGTATTCGCCCGCGTGCACTAGTTTGGGGGTCTTCGGAGGATGTCATCCATAAAATTAAGGCGGTGTGGCCCAAAACGGTCAAAGTATAATCAAAGCACACAAGCAACAAGAGCTAAAGTTGCTCTAATGAACAGTTGAGGCCGTTGGCCCTGGATACGAGACAAAAACAAAACTATGTGCCTACTTTACATCTGTAGTTTTAATTCTTAACCCTTAAGCTGCTGGAGTTTCTTACCAGTAAGTTTCCAGACCCCTTTATAATAGGGGATACTATTTTTATTTCACTAGTTTTGGTTCATTTCCTCCATAATACCCCAATATGTTATACATCAATAGAAAGTTAGGAGGCTTTAATTTGTATAAATGTCATGCATGTCATTAGTAATTATTTTCAAGGACAATAATTCTTGGTAATGCTTTACATTGTTAATTTACCTTGAAACATTATTTCTCGTGCTGTACAACGGGCGGTGCGTATATACGTGTCTATAACTTTAACACCTTGCCACTTTGTTGTGCTCATTTACTATGCATATGCACTTTATGTATTGTGAAAAACGCTAGATATGAAAAAAGGAACAATATCCTTTTCATTACAATACAGGCAGAGAAGACTTAAGTATTGAAAACTTCATATAAAGACATCAATTTACCACTTCTAAGTATGAAGGGCATTTGCAGTTGGCTACAGATTACAGGCCAAACCTGTGTGATTACTGGTCCGTACTTTACTCTCAACTCATATATATATATATACATGTATACGGGTTTCACATATAAGCGTATACTGGTCCTATATACTTATGGATTCAGTACATTTATTCTATACATCACATGAAGAAATTACCAACGGCTTTTATATACACAATCCCTTTTTATGGCAATTACAAGCTAGTGGCTCCCCGAAATAGGCCCTTTCACGCTTCAAACATAAGACTACTACCCAAAACACTGTCTACATCCGACCTATCGCGAGGCTGCCAACAATTACGTCCTAATTTCCTCAATTAAAACAAGCTTTCAATACATTGACGTTTTAAATTNAAAACTTCATATTAAGACATCAATTTACCACTTCTAAGTATGAAAGGCATTTGCAGTTGGCTACAGATTACAGGCCAAACCTGTGTGATTACTGGTCCGTACTTTACTCTCAACTCATCGCGTGAACTGACTCGCTGGGCTGTAATACTAAGGCCATGTTGATTTGATTATATGGATGACATCCGCGCGCGCATGAATTTTCGGCCGTTTCCAAAAAAAAAGTTTTAAACCATACTGTAAATCGTACAAAACAGTTGCAAAATGAGCAAATATATACCGTAAGTTGCAAAAAGAATATTCAAAAACGATACCAATGTCGCAAAATGCTCAAATCAAACAAAAATGACGAAAATGTAAAGAGAAATGAATTTAAAGAGTAGATTATTCACCAAACCATACTCTGTGTTATTTTTTCAACCTTCATGACCACGCAGATTTCATAATGAAAGCAACTTTTTTTTTTGCAAAACTTTTTTTTTAATTCGCACGCGCGCATCAGTTTTGGGGTTCCCAGAGGATGTCATCCATATAATCAAATCAACATGGTCTAAATATATAACAATGCTGTAACATGTTCTCTATATCATTGTTAACACATCACTATCCCTTGTCCTGCTGGGCCCATATATATATACATGTATACGGGTTGCACATATAAGCGTATACTGGTCCTATACACTTATGGGTTCAGTACATTTACTCTATACATCACATGAAGAAATTGCCAATGGCTTTTATATACACAATCCCTTTTTATGGCAATTACAAGCTAGTGGCTCCCCGCAAGAGGTCCCTTTCACGCTTCAAACATAAGACTACTACCCAAAACACTGTCCACATCCGATCTATCGCGCGGCTACCAACAATTACGTCCTAATTTCCTCAATTAAAAACAAGCTTTCACTACATTGACCTTTTAAATTCATTGGGCTGGCTAAAAAGAATTTTCTCATCAACATGAACACACTTCATACAAGATTTGGGTTGGTACTAGTTTAGAATGAGACCTTAAGGCTCAGCCAGTTTTGTACAGTGAAAGTACATAACAAGTTGCGTAAGACCAGACTGTAAGGTTTGATCTACTCACGTCGAGATGGGGCTCTAAATTGATACGAATTGCAGTTGGAAAGTCCTTACTGTCTTTGAAGTAAATAAGTTTATACATACTCCGATTCGTATCTCTGTCGGATGGAAATCTCTACTCTCATATACATATAAAAACTTTCCAAAACATTGAATGATAAAGGGTGTTTTAGTGCTGGATTCTAAAATTAAGAGTGGAGACAGTTACACAAATGTGATATGGAAAATGCCTAGTTTCACAACTTTTTGTTGAATTTTTTTTCAAAATGTCTCCACGGACTTTCTAAGTGTTTGGTTCCTCGAGAAGGGATTCAACACAAATGAGACTAATGTGAGAGTATAGATCCAACAGATCTCTCAGTTTTCATTTAGCTGATACATTTTTTTCTTTGTTACTGATCAGATTTAATAGTCTCCATGCTGTTGAAATGTGGATTTAATCATCGTGTTTCCGGATTTCATCGTACATAGGATTTAGCTGTGAGGCAGTAGCCCCTGTGGCATAAGACAGATTTCTAGCATCCAAGGATTCAGTGATGGTCTGAGACTGACCCTGCCCTGTCTGATCATCACCACTGGCCATCACATACACAGTAGCTGCGGTGGCTGCGTTGGACTCAGTAATGGATTGATACTGACTCTGCCCTCTCTGATTATGTCGGTCACTATTTTCATACTGGTTATCATCTTGGTCACTGGGATTATGGTGGTCACTATTTTCATACTGGTGATCTTCTTGGTCACTGGGATTATGCTGCAGCTGGTCACTATTTTCATACTGGTGATCATCTTGGTCACTGGGAGTATGGTGGTCACTATTTTCATACTGGTGATCATCTTGGTCACTGGGAGTATGGTGGTCACTATTTTCATAATGGTGATCATCTTGGTCACTGGGATTATGTTGGTCGCTATTTTCATACTGGTGATCATCTTGGTCACTGGTCACAGTGGATGTTGCGTTGGATTCAGTGGTGGCCTGAGGCAGACCCTGCCCTGTCTGAGTATGACTGCCGGTAGATGTGCGACCATTTAGGGCAGTTTGGAAACCCACGTACGTGGTATTCGGCCTTAAGGCAGCTAACACGTCATTTAATAGCCTTTCAGTGTGTAGAAATTGAATGTCAGGCTGAGATTGGCTCTGTCCTGTCTGATCATGATGGTTGGTGGTGTTGTTGGGATTTAGTCGTACAGGATCTCGAGATTGTCTGGTGTTCATCTTGTACCACACTATAAGAATGGCGGCGCCTATCAGGACAATACCAGCTACTGGGCCACAGACAGAGGCAATGATAATGGGGAAACGGGCGTCTGCTGTGATTGCACGGGACGTAGTTAGTGTTGCTATTGTTAAACCAGTATAGTTGCCTTCAGGATGTGCTGTCAAGCCAGCATTGTGTTTGAAGAACCAGTGGTAGCGAGAGGTGACGGTGCCATTGTAACAGTTATTACTAGTAACACTTTCTAGTTGGCTATCTTCACATATCATTTCTTCAGGACTGACATCTGTAAGATTCTGTCCCTTGAATTTGGCGGGTTGGGCACATATCATCTGGTTTTTAATTGATGAAAATTTGGTGATATTGAGCCTGAAAGGAGCCATTCTACAGTCACAGCGCCAAGGGTTTCCCTCCAGTTTTACGGTACGAATAGATAACAACAAGTCAAAAGCTGAAGGGGGGATGACAGAAATCTTGTTGTCTTCGAGGTTCAAAGTTTTTAGTAACGGCCGATTTTCAAAAGCACCAGACCGAATCTCTTTTATCTGGTTGTGGCTGAGTTCCAAGCTTTGGAGTTTGGGTAAATTTGCAATCGCACCAGGCAGAATCTCTGTTATCCGGTTTTGGGCCAGGTCCAGCCATTTGAGTCGGGGTAGATTTGCAATCGCACCAACTTGAATCGCTGTTATTTGGTTTCGGCTCAGGTACAGAGTTTCCAGTTGGGGCAGATTTTTAAATGTACCAGACCTGATGATAGTTATCTTGTTGGAGGACAGGTACAAATATTCGCAACGGGGTAGATTTGCGAATGTACCTACTCGAATCATTGTTATGTGATTTGATCTCACATTTAAGTGTACTAGCAAGGGCAACTTTCGAAAGGCACCAGGCTGAATATCTGTTATCTGGTTCTCTGGCAGGAGTAACCAATAGAGTCGGGGTAGATTTTCAAATGTACCGGACCGAATCTCTGTTATCTGGTTGATGGCCAGGTCCAGCCGTTTGAGTCGGGGTAGATTTGCAATCGCACCAACTTGAATCGCTGTTATTTGGTTTCGGTTCAGGTACAGCCTTTCCAGTTGGGGCAGATTTTTTAAATGTACCAGACCTGATGATAGTTATCTTGTTGGAGGACAGGTACAAACATTTGCAACGGGGTAGGTTTGCAAATATACCTGTCTGAATCACTGTTATGTGGTTGGCCTTCAAATTTAAGTCTTCCAGCAAGGGCAGCTTTTGAAAGGCACCAGGCTGTATTTCTGTTATGTTGTTTTGGGACAGGTCCAACTGTTTGAGCTGGGGTAGATATGTAACTGTACCTGCCGTAATCTTTGTTATCTGGTTTCTGGACAGACTCAACGTTATCAAATTTATATACCTCATCAACAGTGACCGGTTTGCGGTAGTAATAAGATTACCTCCTAAATCCAAGCCAGAAATGGACGCTGGGAGGTACTGTGGGATGTTGGTGAAGCCTCGGTCGGGGCACTCGCAGTCTGATGATTGTGCACAGCTGCAGTCATCAGCTTCTGGCATGTTGGGCTCTTCCAGGATGACGAGAAGGAAAATCAGCAAGTGTCGCAGCCTTCCCATGGTGTCCTGACGGTGACACAAACGTAAGACGCACCCATATCAAATCTCCAACTATACATTGTTTGACAGAAAAAACCAAGCCTTTACAAAAAAATACCAGTAGAACAAAAACCTCCGAGGTAATTATGAATTCCACCTTCATTCTAAATTTAAGTTGTTATTTTTTTTCCAAAATATAATGACGAAATCGAATCAATTTTACCAAAGGACAGAAGACAAAGAAGACAAAACAAGAAAAAAATGTCTTCAATCCACACATTGGAATTAACAGCTTAAATTACTGTGGCCTTGGTGATACGGTTGTGCCGATGGTCCGAGGAAGACTATTTGAATATTGATTATATCAAGGTTGTTTAAATAATCCTTTTGCTAACGTTTCCCTAAAA